AATAATAAAAATATGATTTTGTTTCATATTTTTTTAAATTTGTACTATCATATTTAAATAAGGCTTTTTAAGTATAACACTCTCAGTATTAATTATTTAATTATTTACACTCAAACACTGAAGAGTAAWACTTATTTGCCTGAGAGAAACTTAAGGTACCCGAAAATAAATATGTTTAAGATTGCAAAGGTGCAGCAAACATACGAGTAGGATCTTCTGGATGACAACCAACATCAATTCCTTTAATCCACAAATCATATTTTTCAGGCTGAAAACGTTTCACAAAGGTTGCCATATTGATTTTTACGTTGTCAGATTGACAATGACACAGAGTTGCCCTTTTTCCATATTCCACCCAACGAGGTGAGGCAAAGTTAGTGGATTCAGCCATATTGAAACCATGATTGAAACCRGCATGGTATCCAAACGGAAATGTTATCATAAATTCTCCTTGCTCCTGTGTTATCTAAATCAAATGCATAGAATAAATATAATATTTTAAGAACATTTTATAGTAATTATATTTTACTTTGTTGTATGGAATAGAATATTTAGATAATAATTGAGGAGATATAAGAGACATTTTGTGTCTCAKAAATGATTGACATATAGAAGAATCTCCTGGAAAAAAGCCACTTGCTAATCTCTCAAAACGCCGTCCATGTTCCGGTGGTATTGCATACCTAAAAAATAAAAATATTGAACATTATAACTAAATCCCTCATCACAAACCCAAAAAAAGTTACCATGATTTTGGACTTCCTTCATGAATATAGTTTATGCTGTATAAATCCATGTCTTCAGTGTGCCAAGAAAATGATGTTTTCCACATACCAAAATAAAGATAAGCAGTATTAACTCCTTCAATTTGAATTCCATAATCTTCGTTCACAAAGTCCAAAATTGTACCCAGTTTGTTAATATTCCAGACCTTAAATTTATTTTTAAAAGCATGTAGTTTTCAAAATTAGATATGCTTAAAGATATTCCTATATAGATAATACTTACATTTACATCCTTATCTGTAATAGACCCTGATACATCTGCACCATATATTGGACATTTGTAAATAATGTTTTTCCAATATTTTCTTTCAAGATCAGCATAATCAAAATGACATGGTGTAATGTACTCTGGAGACTCGGCCAATTTTCTATATTCTGCCACTGTCATGGGCTTTTTTTGTATGTTAAGTTGTTGATATATTCCTTGTTTACCTCGTACATCCTAAAATAAATATTATTAATAAAATTAGTTATTTGGAATCTCTGCTACTACCAGTCCCAATTAAATTTTGTTATCTTGACTAGAACCTGATGCATAAAATTATACCAATAATAGTTGTTTATTTTCTTTGATTATGTTTTTTTGTATCGTTGGAGTGCAGAAATGATGCACATAAAATTTTGTGAAAAACATTTGGCTATGAACTATAATCATAGCACAGTAATAAATTGAAAATARTGATATTTGAAGTAGCTAKATAAAATATTAAGAATCAAAAATGGTTTGAATCGATGGGACTAAGTAAAAAAAAAAAAAATAGCAATAATATTAAGAGGATGTCAGCGCGCTATTTGTTTTCTCTTTCTGGCTCACTCGTAACATAGACAAAACGCATATACGCAGAATCATTTTTTCTATATCTTGAAGTAATTTTAGAGTAAAACCTACCGTTACAAAAAAGATAGAAAATAATATTTTTGAGGGAATGACATATCGATTTGTTTAAATATTGTCTCTTAATAATTTAAACATTATTTAAATGTACAGTGTTTTTTTGTTTATTTTGAAAGTCAAATATCAATAAAATAGAAAATTGATATGTCATTCCCTCAAAAATATTATTCTTTACCTTTTTTGTAATGGAAGATTTTACTCTAAAATTACTTTAAGACATAAAAAAAATGATTCTTCGTAAATGCGTTTTGTCTATGTTACGCGTGGGTCAGAGAGAGAAAACAAATAGTGCGCTGACATAATATAATACTACCACAGTTGATATTTAGATATATTCGATCAGGAACTAATGAGAAATTTCTTAACATGTGAATATAAATGGTAATTTAGCAGGTACCTATGGTAGTAGTTGAAATAACATAATTGTAYAGATATTAGGTGGTATAGTCAAGATAACGGGAAAGTTAAATTAATTACTTGGCAGATTGGAGCTGGAATAATAATATTCATAATATCTTCGCTATAATAACTAGTTTTCCTTGGAATCCATTCAGGCGGTGGAATAACCTAAATAAAAATATTAAATATTATTTAAATATTAAATATAAGCATTTTTGACAATTTAAAAAAATAAAAATATTACCTAGGTAGGTATAATACAATTATAAAAATACATACTTTTGCGATTCCTGCTTTATGTGCTCCCTGTGACTCCATGTATTCAATATAACTACTAAAATTTTGAAATTCTTCCCAGTTTGGCCTAAAGACCATGATCCTTGGTGATTTGCTTATACTCATTATTATACCTTAAATAATATAATATATTATTTATTATATATATATAATAATAATATAGATACGATATAAAATATTGTAAAATGTCTTAAAGAGTACTAAATTAGGTGGCATTGCTGACTAACCATTGATATCAAAATTACTCATTTAACTTATAATTTAAATAAAACAAAAAAAGGAAATAGAAGTACAACAGAAGTAAACTAATTGGAAAAGTCGAGTTCCTACTAGTATATTTTTTATAACATGATTATATAATAGAACTAAAAGGAAGAACAAAGAAAACCGTTTTGAAATCGATTGAAAAAAAYGCGGCATTTGGATTTTGGAGTATAACCGTAGGTTTATATATTTTTAATATATATAAATATAATAATAAAAAAAAAAATATATAAATTGGCTGTAAGCATTTCAAATACTCGAGCAAACAAGTTGATAATATTCGATCCCCAATGCCTGTAAATGTCGCTGATATAATAAAATATACCTTTAAAAAAAATAGACGTGAATATTAACCCAAATGTATCGTAGAAATGTCAATAACACAAAATTTGAATGCACACATTTTTAGAAAATAGAGTAACTATAATTTCTTAAGCACGAGTAAGAAAGTAGGAAATCAGTCGGACGAAAACCACATGTTAACCCTGAATAGCTAAGGGTTTGGACTTTTCAAACAAATGGCCAATATCATAATAAGAAAATATTCTAAGGCATTATTGCTGAAGATAATTGTTCCAGACGGCCCGAGAAACACTCTTAGCCAGACCAAGAAAAAAAACATGTAAACAACGACCCGCCGCCATGTTGAAGATATCGAGTACATAAACGGCGGATGACCACACTACCGCGAGTACACTCGGTTGTACCAGCCGTTTACGAAAATGGCGCGCTCGTGTTTGCGCATTTGGTATTTACCTTCAGGGATGTGACGATGGTTGACAGAAAATGGCTTCTTTACAATGACCGGTAATGGACGTAGGCAACCAACTTCAGTAACGCATTCTCCGACGACGACGAAACGACTGTTGACTAGTGACTACGGGTCTACAGAACAAGTGGACAAGTGGAGCCGTTGAGATGTAAGATACTGAGATCATCAATAATTTGTCGGTTCGCAGTCGAACGATGTGTAAACAAACACTATATTTTATATATATGGTATTTGGTATTTGGTATAAACTGTAAACGAAGTACAAAAGTAAAACGACGGAACTCGGAAAACGTACGCCAGTAGGTACACAAGTGCGCTGTACGCGGTACGGCCGACGAAGCGACAACCCACTGTGCCACTGGAACGACTATCGGTACAGTGGCCTGAGGGGAGCCGGGGATCGCAAAGAATCACTGTTGTTATCACTTATACGAACGCGGTCCGTTCAGTAATCAGTACCAGCCACTGCCCACTTGWGTCRCAMGGGTCGCCATTACGCGAACACTGTCCGGCGCGTACGTCACGACGCCGCCCGAATGTAAAATGACAATCGAGGGCGGGCGACCGCAATAAGAAATTATTGACTGATGCTCGATACTGTTGAACTTTTTGTCTATATTATAAACAAAAATAAAGAAATGGTAGAGTGACCCTAGTTGTTATCCTAGTAATCTACTCACAAGTCGCAAGTGAAAATGATTAATCTCTCTAGCTGATAGGAGTCGCGCATTCCCTATCAGCCACGGACCATGGTTTATAACATTGTATACCTACACGATATGAGACATTATCTGCATCGCGATTCCAATGATCCATAGTCGTCGTATACTCCTATAGCTGCACACGAAACGATTCGTTAAAAGCACCGATAAAGATAGACGCAATAAGGGTGGATTGTAGCGAACTCGGGACTTTAAGTGGTGACCCGGCAAATGGCGGCTGAATACGTAGAAACTGAATATCTGATAAAACGGCCGTCACTGGCCCTATCAAGTCAAACCTCCCAGGCACGACCGCACGCTGTACACTACAGACAATTTGTTTGTTTAATTAAATACAATTTGTGCTTTACTCCTTTAGCTCGCCCGATCACCTTTAATGTCATTAAACATTTGGTATACAGAATATGGAGTGTCTGTCTCTGTAGTCCGGTTCGGATAACTTTGATAGTGAAGATAATAGATACATGACCCGAACGATATTGTGGGGAACAACGAGTACTGTGATCTTCTGTCATCCTCGATAACATCTTATCCGTCTATTATCATTATTATTACGGTGATCATAATGATTATTATTTATTTAATTATTTACTATTGAAAAGTTTATTATGTTTATATATCGTTAAATACAATATTGTGCAATTCAATATTTATATTAAGCAACATCAATAGAAAATAATAAGAATATTGAAGTTTGTAACTACTACTGTACTACTGCTACTATTGTAAGTATTATTTTTTTGCGGATTTAGGTAGGACTATTATCATTTCTGGATGACCAAATTATTTATTATTGTGCTCAAATATATCATTAAAAAAAGCCTAAACAAGAACATAATATATAAATTCATAATCGGTATTGTTAATATTAATTTTCAATTACAATAAGTATTATACATTTTGTGACAATCATTCATAACCTACTTGAAATTGTTTTTACTGTATTGTGTGCCAATTTACCATTGTGTGATAAATTGAAAACAAAAAACATTGAATTTATTACTGTTATAAACATATACTAGCATTCAGATTTATGTAAGAAGAGTGTAATACAGTGATAACTCCTTTGACGGACACCTCTCAATAGCGGACAACATTTAAGCAACCAAGAGTGTCCGGTATTTAGAGGTTTCACTGTATATATTAGTATATAACAAATGTGTAAAAACCCTCTGTAAAAATACTAGTCACCCTTATTTATTTATCAAGACTGCTTCTTTTTTTTTCTTTGTTGTTGTCAAAGAAATAAATGTAGAAATATATAAATATATAATATTTACTTTATTTACTTAACAAGAATTTTTGCCCGATTATCAGMATATTTATTATTTTATTTTATTTTTGTTTTTAAATTTTTAATGTCTATGACGTACCTATTAGAATTTACTTAAATAAAAAAATACCAATCAGAGAAAATGATTAATTTGTCATCACTCATCACATATATTAGTTACTAATAATATGTTCTATTGAATAAACTTATATATTGCTTAATTTTTTTTAAACTATAAAAACTTGAAAATCGCATAAAAACTATCAATTTACTAAGAAATAAAATGTTGAAATATTTAGTTTTAAATATTCCTTAGAATTATAATCCATTCAGGTATTTATATCATTACTATTTCTATACAAATAGCTAAATTTAATAAAACAGAAGGAACTTGCGTCGTATGCTATCTATCTGTACTTTGATCGCATTATATTTTATCTATCTTTCCGCTTTTGGGTGATATCTACTTTGTACGGAAACTGATATTGCAGGTATAAATGTGTAATATGTATATGGTGTATAATTGTGTAAACACAAAATATAAGTGAGTATTTGAAAGAATGAAAAAAATGTGCAAATCCCACATCTTGTATCATACACTGAACTGAAAGTAATGAAATTTAATTAATTGAGATATTAATCTATTGATTTATTTTGTAAAAATCTTAAATTAAAACTCATTTGTATTCAGAAAGATTTAAAAATTTCTGCTCCAATATCTAAAAATAGTAATTCTCAAATGAAATGTTAAATTTTATGTTTTAAGCTCTGCAAATTTAATAACATCAAATAAATATTAGAAAAATGAATATTAAATAATAGCAATTGAATTCCTATAAATCCATTAAAAGATATATTTAAATCAATGTAACATTTTTAAGATGTTTTAGAATTTCAAAAAAAAAAAAGGTATTAGGAAGTGATGCAATTTCATATTTAAATACTTGTCAATATATCCACTAAACAATAAAGATAAACACTAGTCTTTAATATACATTAAAGACACCACCACCACCTCCTTGGAAAAAGTTGAAGTAACTACAAAATAAATTGAGCCTTTTGGCCCACTATTAGTACCTAACCGGTTTTAAAAAATGTGTGAAGTCTCGATTTAGATTGATAGTTGTTACTTATGATAGGCGGATAAAATCATTTTAATTAAAATGGCATGTTAATAATAAATACCACAGATTGAGATATCAATATGTTTAGAATGATATATTATAGTTCTAAGCAGTATTCCAGTATTTAAAGATATTAAAATTCAAAGCATATAATAATATTTAAAAAATATTATTAGTTGAATAATATATTTTAATATTCATTCTTACTTTTAGTGTTTGATTAAATTATTCTCGAATTTGTTGGTAACATAGGTGACTTAAGTACACTCTACTCTTAATTTTTATATAATATTAATTTCTTGTATTTCAATTTATCTAAGTTCACCTACTAATTTACTAAATTTAACAAAACCACCACAAAATTTAACTTTTCTTGCTTACCTGATAAAAAATACAGTTAATCAGTGGGGTATATATGGGGGGAGGATGTGGTCTACTAGCCCCCCTCCCAAAATTATAGTCGAGACTTAAATCATATTATAAAACGTGAGACATATTTTATAGACCATTGACAGTTATTTGACGTTATTTATCATTTATCACAGCCCACGGGACACATATTATGTGAAAATTGTATAATGAATAATATGCTGGCTGCTGGTAACAGGCAACAATAATAATTGTTTTGCAGTTAATACGAATGCTATTTGTTGATTGGTTTATACTTTATTGGGTTTTTATTTTTACGTCCATAACATTAGTACATTACGCAATACGCATTTACGCCTTACCTTTCAGTCTCTCTCTACATAAGATTAGTGTCTTAGTGATTACATTGATGAGTAACGACTAATATTAACTATAGCAATGAATTTCAAGAAAAAATAAAAAAAATATGTTTTTGGTGCTGACTCTGAATGTCGAGTGATCCAGATAATAATGATGGGAATTTCAGAGCTTTGTTATGCTTTAGAGCTAAAAATGGTGACGATACCCTTAAATTTCATATTTTACAAGCTGGTGGAAAACAAATGTACACAACACACAAGCCTTTTAATACAAAATGAAATAATCAAATTAATAGGGACTTATATTCAAAATATTATTATTGAAAAAGTAAAAGAAACCAAATTTTTCTCTGTGCTTACTGATAAAACTTGTGATGTGCAAAGAATTTTCATTATGTGTTCACTATTTTGATAAAGATATTAATGAAATAAGAGAAGACTTTTTAAAATTTGTACCAGTAAATTATGTCACTGGCAAAGGGTTACCTACTACAATTAAAAATGAACTTCAGTCTCTGGGTCTTGATTTAAATTACACGCATAGACAAGGGTATGACAGGGCTGTTGCAATAAGTAGAGCTTTCAATGGAGTACAGGTAATGTTATTGAATATTATGAATATCCTATGTCAATTTACACTCATTGTGTATCTCATTCGTTAAATTTAGTTTTAAATGATGCATCAAAATTACAACCTGTTAGAAACTGCATTGGAGACTGGAGTGATATGAGAAATAAGTACTTTTATGAGAGCATCTGTGAGAAGATCTAATATCTTAAAAACAAAATTATCTAAACATAAATTAACGCCTTCACGTTTAAAGAATTACTGTGACACTAGATGGATAGAACGGCAAGAGATAATTGTAACTTTCAAAAATGATATTTTACCAATTATTGAAAATATGGATCAGTTAATAAAGATGATGGAACAGCTGCTCGCTCACTCCATAAAAAACTTTGTGATTTTGAGTTTTTAATCACTTTAGTCACCGACTTACCATTAGCAAAATGTTGTCCATAACTCATCAAATATCAGTTACCCTACAAAAACCTAATATTGATTTAAGTTCTGCCATTGAACACATAGAACTTGTACAATTGGTCATACATAACATTAGATCAAATGTTTAAATTGAATTTAAACAATTGTATTTAAGTGCTCAAGCTATTAGTTCTAAACTTAATGTTGAACCATCAATACCTAGGATTGTTGGTATCCAAAGATATCGGCATAATTATTCAACTAACTCTTCAGATGTATATTATAGAATTAGTTTATTCATACCATATCTTGATGAATTAAACTCATTATTAGTTATCAGATTTTTCAAGCACAAAAAAAAACTCTATAATGTAGATAACATTCAATGCCTTTAAACAATTGTGGTAGATACATTTTTCATGTAGATAGCATACGACACGAGTTTCAAACAAAAATGCATGTATTTAATTAGTAATACAATTTTATTTCATTTTTTTTAATTTTTCACAAAATAACAATTTTTATGATAACTAAAGCTAAGAAGTAATAATAGTTAAAATTGATAAAATATGTCAACAAATATAAGTATAAATAACCTAAAATAAGATAAAAATGATTGAAAAATCAAAAATCAATTAATTAATTGTTTAAAAGTATATAAAATATATTTATTTTTATTTAAAGTAGCTGATATTAATAGTAAAGAAAAAATAATAACTCACTGTGGTGTATACTATAATCATATCTATGATAAAAACATGGTATTATGTACCTTAAAGTATTTTTTTTTTTACTGTAATCAATAACGTAACTTACAGTGAATTGCCGACCCAGATTAACACTATTGTAGGTCCTTAGCCCTCTGTATTTCCTTTTAAAATAAAGCAACTTCCGCGTGTCCTGTGGACATTGACATTTTAATATAACTTCTATTCTAATGTAAACATAAACATACATGAGTAATATCCATATACCCAGTGCCGGATCTAGTATATTTTTTACCCCGGGCAAAGTATAAGATTAGTGCCCTCCCCCTTTGTTATGCCCACAATCATACTTATATACCAGTTAAACTCTAAAAAAAAAAATCGAAGAGAATAAAAGAAAAAAATATTTGCTGGATTAGAAAAAATATTTATTAAATTAAAATTTTAAATACAAATTATTACAAACTAATACATGAAAATAATCATTATACAATAATAAAACAAATTATCATTAAATTTTGATTTTTCTTGCTTTTCTGGCGGCAAAATCGTTAATTATATATTTATATTGTCATAATCTAAATTTTTGTCAATTTGATTTTGGATTGAAAAATTGAAAGATGGTTGATTCTGTCTTGATTTGTTGAAGATCTAAGATAGAATTTGATGAACTTTAACTTACTAAAACTTTGTTCGTAAGATACTGAAGTTACAGGTAAAGTCAAAAATATTTGATATGCTATTGAAATATTGGGATATGCATCTTTAAGATTAATTATTATAAATAAAATTTATTATTTCATAATAATTTCCATATTTTAGTGAGTTGTTTAATGCAAAAATATGTTGTTTAAAACTTTCAATTTCTTATATAAATTCGATTTTATTTAAGTCTCTTTCATAATACTTATTACATGGTCAATTGAATGTTTTTTTACATCCTTTAATGACGCTTTAAACAACATCTTACCATCTAAAAATGAAAATGTAGAATTAATATTTTTCATTGAGTCAAAACGATATCTTAATCCTAATAAAATATTATCTATAGCAGATTTGATTAAAATGTTGAATTTTTGTTTTTCACTTTAAGTTGTTAATTCATCTTTGGCAAGCTCACCAGCCTTCTTCTTTTTCTTGCGATGTCTACTAGTTTGATACTCAGTTACAATACTTAAAATTTCAGCTTTTTTTTCTGCTTCAATAAATATTTCATCAATTCCATCTTCTCTAAATTTTTCAAAAAATTTTATCAAGTTTTGTAAATGTGCAACAGCCATCAATCGTTATTTTTGAACTTTGCAATATTGTTTACTCGATCAATTGTACTAAGAATTTTGTTCCACATGACACTTTAATGACCTTAGACAGTTGAAAGTTGTTTAATGCTCTAACTACTTTCTGTTTTAAAGACCCCTTTGTAGTACTGTAACCCTTTAAAGATAATTGAAGATTGTCCATCAAAATATCCCATCTTTGGGTAGAACTAGAAAAAAAAATTTAAATAATTTTTGTATAATTCCCAAAAAATGATTCTAGGTATCTCAGGTATTAATTTTGTTGTGTTTATCCCAATTAAATTTAAACAATACACAGAACATAGAATAACAACTTTACTGCTAAATCATTTTTTGAAAGTATTTTAGCTTGAACGCCTTTTTGAACATTCAACATAAAATAACTAACAAAACAATATTAAAACTAAGATATAAAATATTTATTTTAATAAATTAAGAATAAACTATTTAATAATAAAAATAATTTACCCATTTGTCTACTACCATCTTGAAGCCAAGTATTTAAAAATAATGCTGATTGTTTTTTTTCATCGCCCTTTTTTTGAAATCATAACCAGATAATTTTTTTATTTCATCCATAATAGTATAAATGTTGAAGTATAATACCAATATTATAAATTTATAACAACAGTTGACAGTATCTAGACACAAACTAAATATGAATTTAATTGTTGTTATATGTTAAAGAAAAATTAATTTATCAGTATTGTTAATCGGGTTTAAACATCATGTGTTGTCTGATTATTGTAATTTTTAGTTTGTAGATATGCTGATATTAGCAGTATTAGCAATAAAATATATTACAATAAAGTGCAAAAAATATATTTAGTAAACAAATAATTTCTATTAGGTTTTTTAGTTTTCCCCATTGTTGTTATAACCATAAGCGTGCGCACGAGGGAGGCAGGGGAGGCGGTTGCCTCCCCTGCGAGATTTTCCTCTACACCAAAATATTATATTATATCTACCAATTGGTGAAAATCGGGTGGGGGGATTGGAGTCTGGACCTCCTTAGCTAAAGTATTGCCTCCCCTGCCAAGAATACCTACGCACGCTTATGGTTCTAACCATAGAGTCAAATGGAAATAAAAATTTTAATTTGTATAGTACTTTTATTATAAAATGAATAAAAACTATTAATATATATGCACAACTTATTTTGTAATTTGGTGACCCCCGACCAAAACTTCTGGGGCAAGTGGCCTCGGTTCGCCCCCTCTCCTAGATCCGGCCCTGCATAGACCTTATACTAATATAACTAGTATAAGGTCTATGTTAATTTCACTATTTGGCATAACATTACAGATGCAAATGTTAATAATTTAACACTAATAGTATTTAGGATAGGAACTAGAATCAAAGACACGCGGAAAAGATTTATTACGTGAAAAATACTTTAAATATTAAAAAATTTTCTTTGGTTCATTATTTTTATTTCTTGATTATATGAAGATCATAATTATTTAATTCAAAATTAATTACAATAAATCCCATAAAAATAATTTACCAAATTTACCAACAATATAACCTATACTCATATTATAATATATGATGTTATAAATTAACATAAAATAAAGAATAACATTTTAAAAATCTATTAAGAAATTATTCTATGCAAACTTAATTATTTTCTAGATTAATGATAAATGTTGTTGTATGGTATATTATTAAGAATAATAAAATGTTAAATATCAAAATAATAATTTTAACTCTAAAGACTATATTATAATCACCCATAATTTCAATCAAATTGGTAGGATAAAATGCATACCATATTCAGAATTAATTCCTAAAATACTCTAAAAGTCTAAACAGTTTAAGGGGTTACATTTATCATATAGTATTGTAYGCGAAAAACATTTTATCGGTTTATATAATCAATATTATTAAGGTAATACGGATTTTGATAGCTGATAACTGATAAGTAATGAACATTGATGTATATATAATATATATGTATGAATTTGCCTGTAAATTTATATATATTTCACGGTAAAAATATGAATACTGGTTATATTTAGGATTTACCGGTAAATCTTTGACGATTACTGCGATTACTGTCTGAAGTTCGGATATTTAGCAATTGATTTCAGTAAAATCTAGGAAACACAAAATTATTTGGTCAAACACCAAATGATTTTTGTAGTTTGGACTTATACAAACGAGATTTGCTAAATTTTAGGATAAACAATCAGTGTTAGTAAAAGTCCGAAATATTTTACCAATTAGATATGCTATTAGTTATTAATAATTATTATTTAAGTATATTTGGTAGTACATTAATGGCTAGTATATTAGATACACACATTTGTATTATTGCTATATATTATGACAGCAAATTTATTTTATTATTATATACTACTGCGGTGTAATAATAACAAAAATTCAGATTTTTATCCTAAGATTTACAAAAATCATACGGTGTCAACAAAATAATTTTGTGTTTCCAAGGTTTTACCAACAATAGTCAGCGGAACCTAGCATTTACCGGTAAATCATGCCAGTCAATCATTCAACCAGTATTTGTACTTTTACAGTGACATGTAGAGTGTTGCTAATGTTGCTAATTAAATATATGATACAAATTGTTAATATTATATGATAAGGAAATAATTTAAGAAATATACTCATATCAGCAAATTCTCAAAAATCATATTTCTTAAAAAGTTAGTACGTTCCAAATTAATTTAACCAAAAAAATTCTAAAACATAAACTACTTGACTTAGATAAATATTTTTACCATCAAAATTGTTCCTATAAACAGATTCACAAATAGACTACTTTGAATTTATCCAAAAAAAAATTTTATTTATTCATTATTTTCAGTATTAAAAAAAATATATATATATATATACTAAAAATGTGGCGCAAGCGTCTATGAATTATATAAAAAAAATTTTTTTAATGTTGAACACAAATAAAATTATTCCATATGTCAGATTATCAAGAGACATTTTGTATATATATATGTTACTTATTCGACCTATAAGCACTGATTGTTTATGGACTTGTAATAATAATAAAAAACTTATTGTGCTTGTGAAAAAACTATAACAACTTCCGAGTCTTAGTTATAATTTGTACCTTACACTAGAAGTAATATTTTTTTTAATTCCTATTAAAGTAATTAATGATCCAAAATATTTTTTACAGGAGTTTTTGAAATAACATAATTAGTTCATGTTCAAAAATTATTTTGTAAGTTGTGATGGATGATAGTGTTGAAGACAAAATAATATATCAAGTTTATTTGTCACACATGAAGTTACTATCATCAAAACTGACATTAGCTAAGAACAAAGTTAATTCTTTTTATAACATGTGGAAATATATGCAATTTTATATTACCAAACCAGAAGTAATATTTTTTTTGGCATTAATACTATGCTTACTGTTTTTTTCTGGTAATTTATTTCAAAGCACAAATGGATTTTTAAAAAAAATTCACCGAAGTCTGTCATTCATTGGTTTTAATGATTTTCAACAATTGATGGTTGATGAAAAAGATGCACTTAGTAAGAATTGGAAATTTGATGGTAAAAATGTTGCTTTATATGCTATCAAAGGTCGACGATCACAAATGGAAGATAGATATGTCATTAAAACTAATATTATGAACACTGGAATATCATTATTTGCTATTTTTGATGGACATGGAGGTGAAGTAAGTAATTAAAAATGTTATGAACCATAATATTAAAGGTCAAACCGAACTTTTCTGAAAATGATCAGACCTGAACCTATACACTTTTAATCAAACCCTAACCAAACTTTAAAAAAAATATTTTATTGAACTTATACAGAACATTAATAAAGTTAAAATTAGGTATTTTTTTTTATTATTTAATTTAAAATTTAATATTTACTATTTATTTATCTGGTTGGATTATCAAACCAAATTATTAGATATTTGGTTCAGTTCGAAAATCGAACAATTTGTAACATCTCTAGTAATAACAATATTCTTTTATATTACCTTGCTCTAAAAATTAAATAACAAAACTATTAAAAATATTATAAGATTTAATCAATTTATCAAGCCTTTTATTATAATTACAATTAATTTAATGTAACATTTTAATGTGTTTGTTATTCATGACTTCATGTATATCATTCACATAAAACTTTTATACTAACTTTATTATTACAAAAGTATAATGTAATTTAATTGACATATTTTCCTTACTAAATATAAGGAATATAAGAGTTATAAATGTAGTTCATTGAATCATCTTCTAAATTGCACTGAACATAATAGAGACAATATAGTACCGATTTGTTAATGCAGCAATATTTATTAAATACTTATAATTTGGGCATATTATGTTAAGACAATTGTTAAGTTAAAGTAATTTGTATTACCTAAAACAGTCAGTATTTTGTAATTACTACAAATTTCAACCTATATATAAAAAAATCTTAGCTTAATTAATTATTTGGTTTCAAAGTTTTACATAAATTAAAAAAAAAAAAAAAAGTAAAAAGTAAAAATAAATGTGTACCTTATATCGGTAATCGGTCACTTTGTTTTTTTCACGTTTCCATGTGGGTTATATTATAAAATGTTCAGTCTACATTTTTTTTTTTGTTAAACTTTGTTCATAATAATTACATATATTATTTCAAGTGTATTCTAACTGATTTTCATTCAAAATTTTGTATTTTAAGTTTTATAGTTATTTATATAAGTTCTATTGGTTATGTATGTTAAATAATCACTTAGCCTAAATATATCACCTAACCACTCTAAATGTAGACGTTATTTTAAATTTCTCAAATTTTGTACATTTTTACTTTTCTGTATTTTTAATAGTTTAACATTTATATACTATTTATAGCTGCTGATCACATGTTTATCTACATTTATGACTTTATGAGTCAATAAAAACTTATCAGAAGTCCTGAACTGTGCACTAAAATCAATTGTATCAATAAGAATAACATACTCCGTTCCTCAAAAGAGTGAGACTGGGCGGCGACCAAAACATGTTCATTTTCGCACATTACCGTTGTGTACAAAAAGGAGACGCCACATGGTGGAGAAAATTTGGCCTCGAGAGCAGTCATTTGGTTTTGTGCCGGCGGTCAAACTCTCTTGTGGAATGGAGTATAGTAATAATACTTTGTCTAACAGAGTAAATATTTTCCAAACATGATACAATCAGCTTTGGCAAATGGTTCAGGCTTACTGTTTCAGTAAAACTAGTTCTGGTTAACACATATATTTAAATAAACATTTAATAATAGCTATACAAAATATTGGGAAGGTATGTTATCTTCAAAAACTTGTAACAATGTCTATATTTCAAACTAGAGATTATTTACTCTGCACAACTTATAGAAAGTTCATGTCTTATAAAATAACCATTTAATAAAAATTTTCAGTTTGCTGCAGATTATGCAACTACWCATTTAATGAAAAATCTTACAAATAAAATTATTGAAGTTAAAAAATTACTCGATGAAAAAACTGATACAACTGAAGAATTGAAAATAATTAATTCAAATACACCTGATAATTTAACTCCAAAAATGAAAACAAAAATTACTAAAATTGAAGAACATGCACCTACAAAAACGAAGCCTACAAGTTCTGCTGATGACAGCGTTATTAGCCACAATAAACTTAATCAAAATTCTCTACATTTAAATAAAGACATAACTACATTAAAAAATGTTGATGATGAGCTGATAAATCCTTCTTCATATTTACAAAAAGATGGGAATATTAATTTTTCAAAAATATTGATTGATGAAGTTTTAGCTGCTGACAAACTATTGATTGAAGCAGCAAAATTAACTTATGATATTGCCGGTAATATTTTATTTTAGTTATATATATATATGTATAATCTTAAATTTTAATACAAAGAAATTAATAGTACTTCTGAATCTTAAGCTTTTGAACTCATGTAAATCTAGACAAGTTACATTACATTACATCACATCTTTGCACCAATTTAATAGAGTTAGCTTGTAACCTCGAGTACATATAATGTTCATAAAAATCCTTTTTGTTTTTATTACAAGTAAATAATAGTTGTATTCAAACTACCCTTTTTTTTCTTTTTTTATACTTCAAAAATCTATTGAAAAAAAATTAATTCATTTAAGATATTTAATTAATATTTTGTTGTCTATTGTTATTTGAATACAAAAATACAGTTATAATATAAAATAAAAACATAATACAATATTAATACCTAAATCAGGCTAAATCAACTTGAAACTTAACYTATAATAAATAAACTTATCTTTTATGCAGCATTTTAGTGTGTATTAACATGCTTTTTATATTATATATATATAAGCTGCTGATCCATAAATAAAAATTAAATAAATCCTATAATTATTCAACATTGTTATTACTATACGGTTAGGTAAGATAATTACCATTGACATATTTGTTAATGGCCCATTTTTACTTTGTTTAAGTGTTGCATAACTATATATTTTCACTATCAATACTTTTGATATTATATTTTGTATTAAAAACTAATGATTTTAGGTAGCACAGCACTTATTGTATTAGTTGAAGGCACTACATTGTTTGTTGCAAATGTTGGAGATTCAAGAGGTGTTATGTGTGATAAAAAAGGAAATGCTATACCACTATCATTTGATCATAAACCTCAACAGGTAATTATTTTTTTAGTTAATACTTTTATTTAGATTTAAATAAAATAATATATTTATTCATTTTGTGTTATTAAGATGCGAGAAAAGAAACGCATTGCTGAAGCTGGTGGTTTTATATMATTTAATGGTGTTTGGAGAGTTGCTGGTGTATTAGCTACTTCTAGGGCACTTGGAGACTATCCGTTAAAAGAGAAACACTTTGTTATTGCCAATCCAGATGTTTTAACGTTTGATTTATCACATCATGATCCACAATTTATAATACTAGCATCAGATGGCTTATGGGATACATTTACTAATGAAGAAGCTATTGAGTGTATTAAAAAACATATAGATGATTCATTTTATGGAGCCCAATACTTAACAATACAATCATTTAATAGAGGATCTCTAGACAATATTACTGTACTAGTCATTAAATTTCCACCTATATGGAGTAAAGAATCACAAGTAGTTGATCATGGTGGTAGTAAATATTAATTGTTAAACATTATAAGCATGTTTAACATAATAGGAACATTTTGTAATTTTTTACCTCTAAAACTAATATAACTTAGTATTTAAAATAATTACCCACCTATTTTAGTGACTTAAATTAAGAAGTTAATCTTTGATTTTTTTTCATATAACTGTTATGTTTGTGGTTATGTTTACTGTATTTATAATTTAAATTAATATATATTGTAATCCTATAAATATCAATAGCGAATTATTTGTTCTAAGGCTCTAAGCACAATCATTTTTTCTGGCCTGAATGTGAGTAAACAAAATAAATTTATTTATTAATGCCAAATATTTGAGGAAATAATTTTAATTAAATAGTTGATAAAGTTATAAATTAAACATTTAATAACAAATGKTTATTGTGTATTAAAAAAATAATTGTTAATATGCCACAGAATTGCCAGAATTAGTAACCTTGCAATAAGGATAGAAAATACTTTCTATTTTCATCAATTATGAGAAAAAACCCCATTTTCCATTTAAAAAATAAGAAATTAAGTATGTAATCTAAAATATTATAACTAAAGTTCTGTTTTATATGTATTTACATATCATTATTGAGCTTATACAATCTAATGAGAGTAATAATTGTGGACAATTCATTTAACACAAAGTACAAATGTATTATATAACATAGTAAAGATGTATTTTGCATATTTGATAATATTTTATGGGTTAGGGAATATTTAGATTATATAGCATATAATATATATAGGAATAAAGAATAAAGATACTTAGATACATAAATAATTCATTAATATGAGAAGATTTAAATCATAATTCTAGACACTTAATTTATTACATTTGGTGCATTTAGTATCAACAAATTTTTAATATCCACTTTTCAATGGTTTTGGATTTTTTATTACAAAACTCTTAAAAACTAGCAAGAGATAATTTTTTAAAACCATATAGATTTCATAGGTTCATTTTATGCAACCTAACCTAGAATCTTAAAAAGAATCTAAATCTTTATTCTAGAATCTTTCAAAAACAATTGCAAAGTCGATAAAATATACACTGCAATACAAATTATTTTTTAAAAAACTGCAATCCCAAGAGCCATGGCTTTTGTGTAATAAACCTGCTCCTGATGTTAATTTCTTCTTTCTCCGTTAGTCACAATTTATAAAATATACCTGATATGCAATATTTGTCTTTTATAATTTACCTGGTTTATTGGTTTATATTCTAGTTTATTAGCATTAAAAATATTTATGTCAAACATATGTTATTTATTTAATTTAACAACTTATCAAATACCTGTACTGTTGGACATTTGCCTGTTTTTATTCATTTGAATAAACAAATGTTGTTGTTATTATTATATCTATTGAAACTTTGGTTCCTTAGGAATAATTAAAAAAAATAAATTATAACAAAAGTCAATTACAATAAATTTCAACATAATATATTTAAAACAATTACCATTTATTAATTACTAACAATATTTAACATTATAACAGTTAAGAATGTATAAATAATTATAACTATTCAAATTTCATACTGATTGGACGGAATATGAATTTACAGTCATAATTTGAAAATCACATAATACAGTTTTAGTATTTCATAAAAACATACTTAATAATTTAAATTTAAATTTAAAAAAAAAAACAAAATAACTTAAAGTATTTAATATTAACAGTAAAATAATACCATATGTTACATTTTTAGTAACATAAAAATAAATGTTACATTTGAGATTTTTTTCATTATCACAAAATGCAATACTCAATAGTTTATTAATTATTTACCTTAAAAACCCAATTAGATTGCATGCCTAATGGAAATATGTTTTCAAATTTGTGTACATAATTTAAAATGTCTTATCCAAAAATGAAAATTGAAATTTTTACAAAAATAGTACTAACAATCAAAATTGTTTACAATAATTACAATATTAAAATATAGACTAATTTAGATATCAAAAACCCTGTATTCCGTTATTTAGACTAAAAAATAATGGCATTTAATACAATAAAATTCATATATGATATAGGATGAAAATAAAATTGTGCAACAATTAAGAACAATAAATTAATATAAAAGCTATAACTCTAAAATATTTCGCCCGAATATGAAAATGGCAATAACTCATTATTAATAAAAGGTGGGTGTCAAATTCTATTTACAATAATACTTTGCAAGTAATAAAATACAGTTTATAGTTCAAATTAATAAGTATGAATCGATGAAGTCAATTTCATTATGAGTAGGTAGGGATATGAATAAATGTGTATATAGGAAATATTATGTTTTATTATTATAGATAAAATAAAGGAATTATAAAAATATTATGATTAAAAATGTGTATTTACAATGCAACTTATGAAACATAGTATCTCAATCACAATAATGTCACATAAAAAATCAAAAAAATCACAATGTTCAATTGTGAGACTATAAAAGTCAAGTTGTATTAAACCAGATCATAAGCAACTGCTCCGCAGATCCATGATTTGCCACTGGTTTAGGGATGCGCCACTAACAACAACATTTATTATTTATGATATAAAATACAAATGACGTTAACCTTTTTAGATATGGAGATCTTTTATAAGATATGGTACATTTATATTAATAAATTGGTTAATAGTATTTATACCCATATCTAAAACTATGTAGTTGTCATACTGTTATTTAATTGAAAGTTTTTACATCATTCAGACAATAGCACTGCTTTAAATTTATATATATGTGTATTTATATAAATATATATATATGACATATGTATGGTATTTTAAATAAAATAATTTGAGGTAATTTTATGATTTATTATAGTTTGATAATGATGAGATTATGTATGTTGATTAAAAAATGTTAAAAGATTAAACAAAAATGTATTAACACTAGTCAAAAATTAAATATTAGAAAAAATACACCAAGGGATTTTTTTTTAAATAGGGACATCAACATTTTCACAGCCTATGAGGACTGTTGGTCTTAATTCGAGACTGTAGTTGACATAGGATATTTATTACTATAGTACTGATATTACATACATTGTATTATTGGATGCATTAATAAATTCTGAGTTAAAAAATACCAATAGCTTTATTAATATGCATTGTATTGTACCATACTAACTTAATAATGATGATATTAACGGCATGAGCATGCACTAACGATGAATATTTTAAACCATAGTAGGTAGCAACACATTGCCTTTAACATCATAAAACTTCCAATATGTAATTCTTAATTAAAACGGTATAGCTCTGTAATATATTTGGTTACAACAGATTTAATTTCCTCAATGTTATGAAATTTAATGAGATGTGAAGTACACAATTAATATGTCACGAACGACTGGTAATTGATTCAAAAACATTAACTAATCTAATAAATTAGGTTATACAGTACATTTTTTAATTGTTAATATTTTGAACACAAAACGATTGTTAACATCCTCCAAGTAATTTGAATAGAAAATTCACAGTATAATACTATAAAAAAAAGAGAACTTAACATGGAAATATCATTTAATAATACATCTATGAAATGTATGGTTTTTCTTAAGGAAGTTTAAGTTAATTTTTGTAAATTACATGTAGCTAGGTAAGTGGTATATTTTACCAAAACAGCACTATACTCAATAATATATAAAATGAATTATCTAAATTGTCCATAGGTATTCAGCATGCATACTTATAAATAATCCAGATTTTCCTGAAATTATTAAATAATTAAATCTATAAGACGCCAGTGGCAATGTATTGGTAAAAAAATGTAACTATACCCAATATCTGAGGTAAATTAATAAGTATTTTAAAGATGTCATATTATTTTCTTATTTAACACAAGTTGTGTCCTTACTGATACAAAATTTAATGAATGAAGCATTGTGTATACTACAAATTTTAAATAATAAAACAATTCAACAAATCGAAAATGATAATAAATCATACTACCTAAATGTTAAGAATGTGAGTGTAGAAAATTATATTGGTTAAAATGTAAGATGATTAAAAATTGTAAGATAAATAAAAATTGTAAAAAATTGTATAGTTTATACTAGAATCTAYTACAAACCACCCAACTATATAGAAATTACAAGATAATTATTTATTCCAATTTGTTTTCAGATTKATGTAAACATATACATAAATATAAAGATTAGTACTCAGTAATCATATCACAAATAGTAGAGCATATTAGTTGGCTGTTTTTCTCAAAATACTTTTTTAATTGTTTTTCCAAAAATAACAAAAACTACAGTTTTTTAGAATACAGTTAATAACAAGTCTATTTGGACGGAAAATTTTATAACAACAAAATAAAACAATGTTGTTTTGTACTTGCAGTTAAATATTTAGATAACTCATATATCTCATATCATCTACACCTACCAATAAAATGAATATTTTCAGGAAATATACTCTACAGTAACAGTATTTTAACAAAATCATTACATAACGTATACATTATAAAAAGGGGTAAATGCTGCTTAATATTTTTATTTACCAAGGAATAAAATTTTAAAATATAAAAACATTCGTAAAATCAAAATATTTTATTTTTATTACCAATCTATAACTTGATCTATATTTTAATATTTTATTCAGACAAATAAAATTTTTTTTTAATTTTTGTGCTAGGGGAAAATTAAATAAAAACATTTATTTTAATTCCATTAACAGCAATAGACATTGAAACATTTTTTTAACATGATGATATCCACATACATAATTTTATTTATTTGGTTTGGTTTTATAGGAATACAATTAATATTATATTGAATCGTAGTTAATCAAAAATAAGTAGGCACCATAGAATTTTAAACTGAATAAAGACTATCAGTCGTATATTTATAATAGAGAATCATAATTTGTATTAGTTTGTATTACAAATAGGTAGGTAAATTTAAATTGAATTTAAAGATTTTTATTTTTATTCTTATAACAAAAACAATTTTTCCAAATACTAAATTGGCAAAACCAATTAAATTAAAAAAAATTGTGAATGTTATAAGCATCTAACATTGCAGCATATTTTTAGAAATATTTTATTTTGGTTATTACTTGTCAGTGATTAGATTCATTGTTTATTAAAGTATTAAAACTACATCACAAAATAGATGATAATATGCATATATATTTTCTTTGGAAATAAAATAATATAAAAAGATTATTGATGGGTTTTACTTAATAAGTGAGAATTAAATTCATACACATTACCACATTGTTCTCCGCAAATATTGCATTTCCACGGATTTGTTTCAGAATGACACCCTTTGTGAAGAAAGTAAAGAGTTTGGTCTGGAAATGTAATACCGCAAAAGGAACATTGTAGTGATTTTTGAAATGCTATATACCTCCAAATACCAGGATCTGTATTATGAGGCTGAGATAATTCAGGGGTATTCATATTTATACTACGTTTAAATTCATCACGCAACAATGATTTTAGAGGTGATACTTTGATTAATGATGATAAACTTGATGCTGGCTGAAAACGTCCAGACTCAGTTTCTCCATTTTGGACATTATTTGAACTGTTTTTTCGTACATTTTCATCTCCTTGTTCTTGTTTTATTGGAATGAGAGAAACAGATGGTGTGATTATACTTACTTCACCTTCTTGTCGATTATTTCCTGCTAATATTGGTAATGTAGACATATTAGAGTTTGAATCTGTTGACTGTGGAGAATTTGGACAGTCATTATCTTGAGATACATCATCATTATTTAAATTTTGAATAGGTTCCGTTTTCATATTATTGTCATTAACCTAGATATGATAAAATGAAAGTTAAAACAAATGATGGATTTAGAAAATATTAAGTAAAACAATAACAGAGTTAATCTATTATTTATAAGAAATATGAGCATCCAATTATTCAGTACCTATTACCACCCTTTATTTTGAGTTTTGTAAATTATTTTCTAGAAACGAGATAAAATCACACGAAGAAAAAAATTTATATTAGAAATAATAAACATGTAAAATGTATAATTTATAATTAAGATGATGCTAGTGACATTTAACTCACACAGAGTCGTATTTACGGGAATATTGTGCATGATAATATACAGGGTCCGGCAAAAAAAACCTGTATTTCAAAAAGCAGTTACAAATACACAAACAAGGCTACAGAAAAAAATTATTTTATTTTTGAATTACAAAACTATGCCATTTTTTAGTATCTGAAGATTTCTATGTAGGGCTCTTCTTACACTCCTATCAGAAAGTTTCTTAGCAGCTGCATGTCTGACTGCTCAGATTGCTTGATAGACACTCTCACACGTGCAATTTTAAACCGCAGACCACCAGAACCACCATTACGAATATAATTTTCTACTACAAAACTGTGCCTACTAAAAATGGCATGTACACCGCTATTGATTGATACCCCCTCCATAGTTGTACCACTAACACAACTCAAACAGCCCAATCTCTAAATACGGGAGATTTTTTTTTGCTAGACCCTGTATCCCCTTGGGATAAACATATATTCTACGTTTAAGTATTATTAGAATACAAAGAGCTCGTTTCACAATAATTTTAATTGTTATTACTAAGTCAATTTTATTTTATTTTTTACAATTCCAAATATTAAGCTAAACTTTTTGACAATGCTAAGCATCAATCACAATATCCATGTGATCACGGAAAAGATGTTGGATGAAATTATTCAAAAATCTAAAGACTAGATATTATTTTGTAATGTAAAAGTGAAGTAAAGAATGTTAAAATTAAAAACATAGCCTAACATATAAGTACACCTTATATAAACTTAATAATATTATAAATAAAGGAACCCGAGAAAAACTTCCCAAAAAGACACCAGAAAATCAAAAGAAAGAACATTAATTTTGTTGGTCAATGCAAAAATGCTAAGTTAATTCTAAGGAAGATAATAAAATTAATATCATAATGTAAATAAAGTAAATTCATAACTATCTTATCTAGTTGTATCATATATTTGCATTTTATAGCCAAAATAGTAATTAATTTGTAACATAATAATCAATAATACTAACTTGAGAAGAGGAAAAAGATGAGCAATCTGTAGAATTGGGTTCTGTCATTGATATTTCAACATGTGGTGTAAGAAAATGCATTGGCGGTGTTGCATTACTTTCTGATCGACTTCCTCCGATTGAATCACCACTGTCACTATAAGCTCCACTAGTACTCATATTTCCACTATTGTATTCAATAGGTATGTGGTTTGTTAAAGTAGAATTTATCACATTAACACCCGGGTTATCTAGGTCAATTCCATGTCTGTAATTATAAGAATGTTAGAAAAATAAAAAATGAAAAGTATATTTCTATAATTTAATTTAATAAAAATATATTTTTACCGGTTAAAAAAATGGACTCTTAAACTTTTCATTGAACTAGCTCTAAAATTACATAATGGGCACGATTTAACCATATCATGTTGACCAACATGTTCATTTTGGAAATGTGCTCTCATTGCAATTTGACGTTGAAATCCTCTATTGCAAATCGGACAATGAAATGGTAATGATTTTGTATGGGTTGTAAAATGTTCAGCTAAATGATCTTTCCTAAAAAAACGCTTTTGACAAATTTTACATTCATAAGGTTTAACTCCTGTGTGTCTCATTTTATGTCTCCTCATATTAGCACCATTTGAAAATTTCATGTTGCATATATCACATTCAAATAATTTACGATTTGTTTGTAGATCATTTTCATTATTACTTTCTGTTCCTTGACATGTTACTAAATGTGATGTTAGGCTTGCTTCATTTAAAGTTTCATAGTTATCACATCTATCACATCGATGAACAGAAGTTCCACAATCTGAGATTGTGTCATAGTTAGAATTTAATTGATCATTTTCAATATCTCCATTCTCTTCAAAATTATTGTTTGAATTATCATTATTGTTTCCAGATGATGCATCAAATTCCTTTTTAACAGGTGTATATGAAACTACTTCAGACATGATAAGTTAAGATCTCTTTGTTTTAACAATTCAATTGCAAATAGACCAATTACATCTACCATAGGTAAAAATATGTTTTATTTGATTCTAAAACAAAACAAATTGTAATCAGTCATAGATACAAAGTTAAATTAAATATTAAAAAACTCTTAATTTTTAAAGTTAGTGTTCACACAGTATACCTATTTATAAAATGTTTATTATTCATGATTACTATATTTAAACATATAAATATTTGTTGAGATTTGATATTATCTAATTGAATTGATAGTCGATAAAGTATCAACTGCAATACTTATATTTCCAGTATTACTGTAGTATTAGAAAATGTCATATTTTAAAATCATTAAAATATAAAACATCAAATCAGCCCAATACATAGTGTATGGCAAGCTGACTGAAATAATATTATTTTTTCAAATTTATAAATGAAATGTTGTAAGAAAACTTATTGTCTATAGATACAAAAGTTGAAAGCTTGCTGAGGTCAGAACATTTTACAACAATATGAATTTATTAAAATTAAATCGTAAGAAAACTTATAAGGTATATAATATACAAGTTCTTAAAACTTAATACCACTTCAATTTTAAGGTACTACTATTAAAACAATTTTTTTTAATTTTATTAAAAACATTTATAGGCCAAAGATATTAGGCATTTTAAAGTAATCTGTTATCTGTATAACTATGCACAGTATGTAATCATTATATTTGTGACACAATAATAATTAAATTATAAAAAAAATTAATGACATGAAAATGTATTTTAAAATATTTGTATGAAACTAAATATCAAAAATATTATTAAATATTTTGCTGATTTTAAAAAAAAAGTTTGAATATCTTGATAAAATTTAATGTATCTAAGAATAAAATTATTAATATATTTACCTACATACATCAAACAAATGATATTGTGTTTAGCTTTTTATATATTATTTTATTTTATTTTATAATTTGTGATAGGTATAGAAAAATTAATTTAAGAACACTTGTTGGAAGACTTAAATTTAAAAATAAAATACAATTTGAATTTATAAAATGATTAACATTAAGGTCATGTTAACTTATGTAGGTTAATGTACTGATTATATTGGGCAAGAATGCAATATCAGAATACTTGTAAATAGGTGCCTAGAAACTAGGTCAACTTTATGTAAAATAAAATAGAACATACCACATAATCACATAGAGCATCCAGATCACAATAAAAAGGAGAGTATAAAAATTACAAAATTTATGTTTTAAATTAAAGAGGAAATAATTATACAACAAATATTTAAATTAAGCAAAAACAAAAAAAAAATGGAATGAGAACAAACATTCTAATGCTTCCAGCGATGGTTAAACAGAAATGGAATAAAAACTATTGACTTATAACGCATAATTAATTTAATGTAAACAAATCGTGAACAAGAGTAATTGTCTACAGTTATTTTATGACATTATAATTGTAAAAAAAAAAAATAATAATGGCAAAAAAATAATTTTATTCACTTATGTGTACTGTGTACCTAAAAACTAATTATTGCTGATAAATGATAATCAAACTACTATTGTTCTATGATACCAGCAAGGTGCATCTATCAGGTGTTTTTTTTTTTTGTAGGCCGATGCTATGTCGACCGCTAGATCGCAGTAGATATTCTTTATGATTTTAAAACAAACTGATAATCAAGGTAAATTATAATATTTTAGAAAATAGGTACATATAAAATCAGTTAATCACCATAAAATAATTAATTTGATAAATTAAACTTTTCTTATCCACCAGACAGTTGTAGCACCCTTTTAATGCATTCATTTTATCTGTAACGTATGTAGTTAAGCATACTGAAAACGATGGTAAAGTCAGAATTTGGCGCTCGGACAAGGTTTTCGAAGTTTTTTAGTATTTTTGCTTAGATCAGTTACACTATAGTATGGGTAGTTCAAGAATTAATATATATGCTCAACACGAACAGTGTTTCGTCTTATTTTTGCGCATGTACATCGTTTTTGTACTTACTGCATTGCGTAAGGTATACGTGTGACGTCCGCTTGAGATTGTCGTTGGTTGCCTATATAAATTATTAYATTGGTACATTATAATATACATTATTACATTGTGTCATTGTCCCTTTAAAATAAAAGTGGGTTTTTATCGTAGAGCACACTTATTACGCTATTTTTCTAGTTGAATTGTTGCGCAGTGTGGGAGTAATACTTAATTACATTTTCGATTTTATTATTTACAAACACCGCGGTATAAGGTAGGTACCTACTCGCATAGAACACTTTAAAAAAAAACTAGTTAAATACCAATTCGAAAGTATTTAATCAAAGTAAGACGTTTTTATGCAGGGTCGGATTAAGAACTTATTGGTGCCCCGAGGCCAAAATTACCTAAAATTCAGAATTTTTTTAAACATAGAGTATAACACGCAATATTTTAATTATGTGGGTACTACGCATTTTACTATAAAACTTAAAAGATATAAATATATTAATGAAATAATAATATGTTAACAATATTAATAATGTTATTATGTAAAGTAATACACAATATAAATGTTTCATTAAAACTGTAAATACATTTATTATATTTTTATTAAAATGCTTTTCTTGATTTCTGTAATAAGTGAATTGGTCAATGCATTCATTCCATGAAATAGATTCAAACAAAACATTTTCAATATTAAGAACTATAGTAAATTATTTAATTTTTTTTTTTTAAGTAGATAAGTTTCTCTATTATAGTAGGTAGATTACCTACAAAATATCGAGCAAAATATGATGGTCATCTGCGCGCCACGAAAAACAAAATATTTCGAAGCGGTCGAAATACGAACAAATTTAATCATTCGTCATACTATAATAAAATGAGTAGTCATTTAACAATTATTATTATTGCGTAGACACTGACTATAAGTTATTATTTGCAACTTTGATATGGGTAAATTTGTGGAAACGCATAGGTATAATTATGAGTTTCCGCGCCGAGTATCCTATCGTAATCGTTAATAGTTTTTTTCACTCCAAGGTCTAAAATCTAAATGGTACCTACCTATACATTATTTCAAAACTGCGCCTTTAAAATCTTGAAAATTTCCCCCACCCCCTTTAATCCGGTTCTGCAGCGCTTTTTAGTAGCTCTGCTGATGGAAAAATACGGACGTGGTTTCACATACGAATACAGCCACTGATACTGATCCGAAGGGCCACAGACGGTGTGAGTCAGTGGCGTATTTGGGGGGGGGGGGTGTCCTCCATGTCTTGTCACCCCCCGACATTTAAAAAAAAGTCCTAATATATTTGACATTAGTGTATTTTATAGTATACTATTTTTATCAAATKTAAAACTTCTTGTCAATTCCTAACATATTAATTTGTTAAAAAATTACCTAATTCAATGTCTTTTTACATGAGGCTCAATAAATGTTGACACCCCCCGAGAAATCACCCAAAATACGCCACAGGTGTGAGTGGTCGACTTGCCGCAGAATACTAAGAAGTGCTGCCGAGTAGCTACATGTGAAGTGGCCCTCACACCTACCGGTTCCGGTGGCCAAAATCGAGCTCTTCCGGAAACTCCCCACAGGGTTTAATATAGCCAGGAGAAGGAAAGGCCGGTCCTATTCATGGCGTTGTCCAGCGCGTATTTCGGGACGTTTTCCGACAGATGGGCTATACAATACAACGTATCCTACACAGTGGCCTAATTAGTAATTTGATTTGGAGGGGGGAATACAGGGCCGTTCCTAGGCAAGGGTGAGCGGGGCCCACGCCCCGGGCCCCGCGCTTTGGGCTTCTCATTTAGGCCCCGCGCTTTGGGCTTCTCATTTAGGCCCCGCGCTCACACACATGAAAAATCCCAAGTTTTCTTATTCAGAAATTATTCCCCGGGAATATATGTCTTTAGTTATATCTGTAAGCCTACTAAGCCTCATATATACAGTAACCTACCCAACCAAATATAAAATGTTAGCAGTAAGATAAAAGTTTTGGAGAATCTATCCCCCCCCCTTAATCAAGCCTTGTAACCGTCTAATATAATAAAAGTAGCAAAGCGCTTTCAAACGCCATCACCCAATGCCCAAATAAAAACAAGGAAATCCCTTTCTACCCTACTGCAATCGGTCATTACTATAATATAACGATACGGGCCGGGCAATCAAAAATTTGAACGCTTCTATAAGAAACAATTGCTCATAATATGACAAAAAAATTAATCTAATTTCTTTTGTAAGAACCTGAAAAATTGAGTTCTCAAATATAAATGAATAAATAGTTGTAATTTTAATGTATAAGTAAAATTGTCATTTAATATAATAAATGTTTAATTTTTAATTTTTTGTTTTTCATCAAGCTGCGCCGCTCACCTAGTTTGCCCGACTGCACGCCACTAGTCACGACTTCACAATAGTAACCTAGTTCAAATAATTTTTAATGATCTTTTAGATGTATTTATATAGCTTTTCACTTAAAATTCTCTCTTAAAAATTTGTCTACCTAAAATTTTTTGCTCTTTATTACTTCCAAATCACATAATTGTGACGATTATGTTCACCATTTTCAGGTGCGTGAAAAACTTTATCGATTCGTGTAAAAAATACTGACACTACAATGTTTATTGGAATATTTCCATTTTATCATTCTATCAATGCGTTTTCTAAGTTTACTTACAAATTAATTTTTTTTTTATTAGAAAATTCAATCTTACAAAACAAAAAGTAAATGTGGTAACATGTAAAACAAAACAATATAAATATAAATGTCAGAATGGCATGATAATGGCAAGCATCTATTGATAGAACCCTCCAGACTTAAATTAAATATTATTTATTATATCATAAAATATCTAGACACCAGTGCCTTTTAAGGTGACGAGAGGTGTTGTAAAAGGTAGTGTAAGTGAGGATAGGTGGGATATTAGAGGATTTTTGTGTTGCCGTAATTTTTTGTGAAATTTAATATAATATTGTTTGGTTAGTTGTTCAACAGTTTAGAAATTTAAGTCCTTGTGAAGTAAATTATTTGTGATATACCATGGGGCAGAGGCTATGAGACGATTAGCCGCTTCCTCAGATTTGTGAGCCTTAAGTCCTGATGAGCCTTATCAAAAAGTTTGGATTTTAATATTAAGCGAAGCATGTGTAAAAATTTGCGTTTGGATTTTAGTTGTAGGCCCCATGATAATATTTTGTCAATGATCCCTATATATTTTGCTACAGCGGTGTAATAGGAATATCAATATCTGGCAATAAAGGGATGGGGAGTTATTTCTTGAGTTTGAATGGAACATGAAAATGATTTTTCCGGGTTTATTTTGACTCGCCATCTGGTCGCCCAGGTATTTATTAAATCGTTGTGGTTTTGAAGGTTGGAGGAAGCTATATCAGACTCTGTGTCAGAAATAAAAATGGCTGTATCATCAGCATAGGTTGTGATAATTAGGGAAAATAGAATGTAAATATATAAAACAGACCAGGGAACAGATCACTATTTTTATGTGGGAACTATATAGAGAAATAAAGCTTATGAGTTATACTATGAACATTTGGGAAAAGATTATGGAGAAAAGAATAAGAAGTGAGGCATTAATATCAGAAAATCAGTTTGGTTTTATGACTGAAAAATCGACAATGGAGCCATAATTGTTTTTTAAGACAACTAGTAGAGAATTGTGGGGTAAAAATAAAAAACTATATATGCATTGTGTTTATAGATTTTAAAAAGGTATATTACAGAGTGCCAAGAGAAGATTTAAAGTAGGCATTAATGAGAAAGGTGTCCCAAAAATATACATAAATTTGATTTAGGATATGTATCAAGGATCGAGTACTAATGTCAATAGTCTGTGTGGAGTAACAGAAGATTTTAGGTAGGGGTAGATGTGCATCAGGGGTCAGTTCTTAGTCCTTACTCCTTATATTACTTAATCTCTATGGTAATGAATGAAGTTATTAAAAATATACATATTGGGTGACATAACCTAACCTAACCGATGATGTCCTTTGATAAGATCGGTACCACAGGAAGGAGGGGAGCGCCACTGTTCCGAGTTCACGCCGGCTCACTGGTGGGCGCACAGTGCCGGTTGGTTTCTTGGTGGCTGTAGTAGGAGCTACTATGTGGTACGCCAACGCTGACAGGGAAAAGTCCCTAGTGAATGGCCTCATCTTCGAGGGGGTGTAAACCTCGTCGTTGTATGTGATTTCTCCTGGGCACCTACCCGATCTACCGCTGGATAAAATAAGCGGAGGTTGCCTGTAACCATAAACAGGAAGTGATTGGATAGGTCAGGACCTCACCAGTGAAAGCTTCCGGCCTATTCCTTCTGCTAMGGATTTCACGCTCCGGTGCTAGTGGTCCATAGACGACACGCTGGTGGCGGGGGCGCGCCGTGTGCACCCGCACCAGTGAACCTCTACGGCTCGTAACTAGCACACAGTGCTAACACACGGTCCGTAGTTGTAGCCGAAAGGGGCCAAACCGAGGATACTCATACTATAGACCATAGCGTAAGTTGTTTGCTGATGATATAGTTTTGGTACTAAAAAATCTGGAAGATGTTAATATTAGATTGAATGAGTGGAGGTTAGCCTTTGAAGAAAAGAGATTGATTAAGTAAAATAAAACAAAGTATATAGAGTATAAATTTGATAGTAAGATATAGTTATGAAAAAAAAGTGGGCTATACTCCCTCCCGAAAATTAAATCAGTAAAAGTAAGTATCGAGTAATTACTCAATGCATCTTAATTATTAGTTGGTAATAGATACGATTCAAGTATTAAAACAAAATACCTACCTATAAAAGTAAAAAGATCAAAAACTTACAAGTACGTAGTAACGTAGATACAAACAAAAATATCATAAATAAAACAGTAATACATTTAATTGTAACTGACATGGTGGAGGAAACTTAAATTTATATAATTAGGTATCTATGTTAATGTAGGTAATTGTTTAATTTACCTAATTGAAATAATTAGGTCAAGCGAGGTAATTGTAAATGACTCTAATAATGTATTTTTAAGCTGTGTTTTGACGATTTAGTTACACATTAATTGGTATTATCATTGTATATCAATACTAGTGGAAGAAATATATTTTCAATACAATTTAGGCAATTTTAAATCTCAAACCTCAAGAAATTGCAATTTACATTTATCGCAGACATTTACTATTACCCATTTACCCCTTGATTTGGCGGAAATATAAATGAACAGGTTAAACCTATAAGGTAATTATCAAATTGTATATTGAGCAAATATAAATTTATATTTTTAAGAATAAGATAGTATTTTTTATTCTATTGAACATTATAGCAKCAGATATCCTTAACTCTTCTGAAACTTGTTTCATTGTTTGTATGTCTTGTTGCCTGAATTAATTGCTAAAATTACTTTTTCTAGGTCAATAGATGTGTACACTGTTGGCTTCTTATTTCTTATATAGATTCAAAGCTTAAAAATGTATAAAATTAGTCATGTTTTAGATGTTAGGTAAGCACCTATCTATTCAATTTTGAATTTGAAATTTCCCCAATTACGTGTTTGTATTTACCACCTTGTATAAATTTACAAAGGGAAATGTGAACATGGTAAAAATCGTACAACTACTTGAAATACTAAATATTAATCATGAAAAATAACAATAATTAAAAGAATAAACCAATACAACACGCACATATTGAAGAGATGAGAAGAACTAGAAGATTCTAAGCTTATTGTGTTTCAACACTTATGTACAACAAACTTTTTGTAATGGTAACAGAAGAAKTATAACTTCTAAAATGCTGCAATCAATATGATTTAGTGAACGAAATATCTAACAACAATATTATCAAGTTCAATGGTTATAATTTATTTTATTTCAATTAAGTACTACTACTCGTAATAACAATTACCGCAACTGACCTATCCAATAATATATCTAACCTAACCATTGTAAATATTACCAGTGTATTTAGCCATAGGTTTAGGCACAATATTATATTATTATGTATTTTTTTTTATTCTTCTTTTTGGTCTTGTCGGCCGTTCATGCATTCCAATCCAGTCCTCCATTCAGTGCCTCCGCGTCTTCACACTTTAATCGGAATCTCTCAAGTGATATTTTTTCAAATAGATTCTCATCCATGATCATCTTTATGAGTTAATTTCGGCTTTGCAAAACACATCCATCCCATAAAAGTCTTCGGTATCTTGTTTTGCGTATCAATATGTTTACCTTCTGGAAAGCTTTTTCAGTTCATTTTTCATTGCACTCTCAATTTCTTCGTCATTTACTGATCCAAAAATCCTCATATAATATCATGACAGACACCATCCAGTAACAGTATTAAACGCACTACATAACAAAGCCTGTTTTCAAAAATTATACAACTGAGAGTTGAATATAAAAGTTCTTGAGTATATGGCGACGAGATGTTTACATAAACGATAAACAATACATTTTCCAATCGATTGAATAATAGTATAGATATAGGACATAGTTAATTGTGGCAAATGGATGTAAAATTTTTAATATTTTAAAATTATATAAAATTATATGGTTATTTATCTTTATCATTTTTTAGAAATCCTGGTTATGCTACAATATACAACAACCCCAAATAACTAATAAGGATTATACTTTCAATCATTTTAATAAGCTAATAAATGTTATTACTTTTTAAAACTATACAGTTTACTARTACAAACTTTAATATTTAATTTAATAATTAATACAACAACAGTCACTCTTATTTTTTTATATATTTACATCTGAAAAAAGTTACAAGAATTTATCATAAAATAAAATGATTATTAAATTATTCGATTTCAAAGTTCTTAAATAATGTCATATTTAATTGCCAAACTTAACAGTCAATTATACTCAAGCAACCAAGTTTAAAATATTGTAGTATAGTTTCATAATATGAAAAAATAAAAAATAAACAAGTATTATCCATCATTTTTTAAATTTTTTGTAAATTAACAAATAAAACTACTTATAAGTTTTACACATCAACATTAATGAAATAACTATATTATATTTCACAAAAACTATGATAACTATTTGAAAGACAGACATAATCAAAGAAAAAATGTATTACACAATGAGTTTAAAAAGATTACACAATTGCATTATTTCTTGTAAAACATAAATAAGTTTTAAAAATAGCTTTAAGCTTTAAATATCATTTTGTTTTCTTAATGCAGATCGTAAATTATCTAAAATTTTGTTTTCTGACAGTTCTTGATCAAATGATTTACTACCTGTAAAAAATTAAATTAAATTATTAACTATCACAGTATAAAACACTAATATCTCTTCTTTATCATAGGCTGGGATTTAAAATAATTTTTCAAGATACAAGTAATTATGTACAAAAAAAAGTAATTACTTTAAACTTTGATTGGATAAGTGGATTTTGTTCCAAAAAATGAAAATTATCCCAATAATGCTTTTTTTATTTTTGCAAAAATCCCATCATCAGCTGTTTGGGTTGTTTGTGATTGATCAGCTGATGGGCCTAAAAAAAGCAACTATTTTTGAATAATATTCATATTTTCTTTTAAGTTGATAAATGTTGATAAATTTAAATGTTTAACTTAAAATTTAATGAAAATAAACATTGACATCTTATCATATTATAAGCAGTAAAAATTCAGTTATAAGTTTGAGTACAAATGTACAAATGTTTTTTTTATTACTAAATAACTTATAACTTAATATTAGGACATAGTTTTTACTTCTTAACATAGATAAAAAATTTAGAAAAATAAACTTTAAAAGTCAAATTTTTTTTTCGTGATGTTCTAAAATAAATATTCGGAAACTAGWAATGTTTGTTTAAACATCTCTAAAAAAATTATTTATAAAATGAAAATAATAATTTTAATAATAAAGAGCTGATTTAAATTGAACCAAATACATTGATAGGTAGGGAATAAATTAAAAATAATATTGATTTTTTTTGTTGACCAGACAGGAGTATACTTGATTAATTTAAAATAGATGGTTATAAAACCCATTGCTATATTAAACAAATTCCCAGACTATGAAAACTAAGAGAACAACATAACTATCTTTATAATAAGTGTAATAAATATGCTAATTTTAGCAACAATGACCCAATCACCATTGACTTTTCAAACTAAAATAACATCTCTGTAAAGTCTATAGCTACAGAAACCTCGAAGTAGTTTGAATTACAATTTACAAATAACTTTCAACATCTCCATTGTCAATCAACTTTACTTACTTGTTGTACACCTGCAGAAAGGTGCACCAAAGCTAAAATGTTTGGTAAAAAAATAAATATAATAAAATATATAACAGAAAAAACTGTCAAAACAAATAACTGCATTCTACAATTTTTTTTTTTTAACACTGAAATATTAAATTTGATTTGATTAATTTCTTTGAACAGTAAAATAAAGCTTATTTGTAAACCTGACTTTTAGAAARAACATTTATTCAAGTCAAGTTGTTAATTAATCACAATTTTTTTAATGTCCATATTTCCGTGGAGTAAGATATAAATTAACTCAAAAAGCAATAACTTTTTTTCTAAATATTCATTTATCAAACCATAAAAGTAGTAGTCAAACAGAAATCTTATCTCGAATTACTAACAATCATAAACTATACCATGGAAAATTACTCAGCTATAGTGATTATCAAATCTAAATAGTTTTGCAAGAGTAATCAAGCAAAAAGCGTTTTTGATGCTTTAAATTTTAAATTAATTGTATTTTATGATCAGATTATTTTAAATGAAAATCATAAATGTTAATATTAATCATAATAATAGCCAGTGATATATTGATAAAAAAAATGAATGAGTATATGCATCTTAAAGTATTAGAGTTGATTCATTTTAAAGAATTTACTCGCTTTGCTCGAAATATCTTTTTTTTTTTTTATTAATGATACYCTCGGCAACATGGGCCATTGGGTTCCATCGAAATATCTTAATGCTATCATTGTCATTATTATTTAGTTTGAAATTACCTGTATAAATTATCGTTTATTAATAATTGTACATGATTACCAAAGCAACAAGGTTTGACTAACACACTACCACTGCACACAATATTATGGACAACAACCAGTATTTGGTGTATAGTTCAATAAACACATTAGGAATTTCCCGAATTCCAAACTTCATGCCGGGTTGAAGCTACTTTTGGACAGTGCATAGTGTACATAATAAAATAATAATTGTGTATTATTACTATTATTATTTTTTTATACAGTGATATAAATTATGATTGATGATAAATTAGAAGTTTATGCATGCCTAAAATGTATAAATTTTTAGTAGTTAGCGTATATTTATTATAGATGGATTTTCATAAAGATATATATATAAATCCGAGAAAAGTGTATACCCACCAATACACCACTGATAATAGTTATATATTTTTAGTATTGAATATATGAGTTAGTATATCAATAGTAGTAGGTATTAAGTTTATATGGTAAACATATCATTTAACCTAATAAAATAAAATTAAAATAATAAATGTATTTAAAATATGTATATTTAAACATTCTCATATTTGAATACTAATTGTAAAAGAGAAACTACTTAGCTTAAATTATCTTTATTAGCATCAAGTTTTTTCTAAAAAAACAGGTTTATCAAATAAGTTTTTATGAATTTTGCTAAGAATATTTTTGTTTTTAGTATTAAAAATTTAAAAACAAGTTATTTTATTTATCAGTTTTTTTTCATCTGTATAATTTAATTATTGATAAATGCTATATATTTCTGAATAAAAATAATAATAATAAGTTACATGCCATCTTTTTTATGGTGCAAGTTATTTATTGTTCCAGGTGTGTTTTCTTCGAGCTCTGCATAAGCTTGAATAAGTGCTAGCTGCTTTTTTGTTATTGACTTAGGAATATCTACTTTAATAGTAACATAGTGATCCCCGTTTAGATTGGAGTTCACTTTTTTCATTCCTTGTTTGATCAATCTAATTTTGGTGTCTGTAGTAGTATAGGGCGAAATCTTTTAAGGCAAATTAAAACAAAATCATGTTAAATACAATAAATATTTAATACAAAATATAAAAGATCAAAGGAGAATTTATTACCTGCACTGTGTGATCATCATAAATGCCTCTAACTCTAATAGATCCTCCTAAGAATGCTTGAGATACAGAAATTTTAGCAATTGTATGAATATCAGAACCATCTCTCTTAAAATAATCAGATTTTTCCACTTTGAAAGTAACAAATACTTCATTTCTATTGACCAAAATTCTAATTGATTGACCGTCTTCAATTCCTTTTTAAAATAATAATTATACATTAAAGAAAATCCATAAAAAAATAAATGCAGGTGTATAACAAACATATTTATAAATATTTTCTAAGAAATTACATAGCTGCTTTTGGGTATAATAAATTCTAATAACATTAAATGTTTTATTGTATTTTACTCAGGTAAATTTATAAGCATTTAGAATATAGAATATTAAAATTATAGAGCCTTAAATTTAATATCAGTACAGTTAAATATAGCATGTACCTGCTGGAACTGGTACTGTTACTTTTTTACGTTGTACAGTACTTCCTTTCCCGTGACATTCTATACATGGATTTTTTATAATAACTTTAGTTCCTTGACACTGTCTACATGTTGACTTCATTAAAAAGGGTCCTAAAATGTTCACATTAAATACATCAAATTTGGAAAAATTCATTTATCATAAATTTTTTACCTCTTGAGACAGTTTCCATTCCAGATCCATTACAATGAGTACAAATTGTTGCCTTATATCCTAGTTCACAACGAGAACCGCGGCATTTGGGACAAATATCAACCACATTTAAATTTAAATCTTTGTTAACACCTCGAGCAGCTTGTTCAAATGTAATTTTAACAACAATCTAAGTAAAATAAATTTTAGAAAATATTAGTTGAAACCTATTTTTTAACTTAAAAGAAATCTTTACTTCTTCAGCAGCTCCAAATCCAAATTTTGAATCGGCAAAATCTTCCTCAAACGAACTATTATTTACAAAACCACTTTGATTGAATATTTTTCTAAACAGTTCTTCAGCATCAACATTAGATTGGAAACCCCATGAATTTTGGAAATTATTATTTTCTGTACCTCCTCCAGGCCCACCCATGTGGTTTGGATTACCAGTAGATCCCCATGTGTCATATTGACTTCTTTTTTTTTCATCTCCTAAGACCTGTAAATAATATAAAATTATTAAACTATGAAAATAAATGAGGAAAGGACAAAATGTTGCATTATCATTGTAATTATTAGGAATTTTTAGCAGTCAAAGCGACTAAATTTACAAATTGTATGGTTTACATCACATTGCGCAAATCCTATWGTCTTGATTAAATTACAATTTTCTATTAGCTGATTAATATTTTTAATACAATTAAGTAGTACAAATAATTTTGTCATATTATTTTTAAATATCTTTAAAAATTCATATCCATTTATAAAAGCAAGCATTACACCTAACTGATATCGATATACATTTAATATATTTGAAATATTCAGATTTTGTACAGCATGATGAAAAAATACATTTGTTTAAAAATAATTAGCTATAAACTAGCTACCAATCAAAAAAACGTAATTTATTATTTTGATATGAAAAAAATTACTTGCTACATTTGCATACGTCATGTTTCCATAATAAACCAAATTGTACATTCTGTATAATCAGTTTAATTCTATTATATTTATTATAAGAACATTTTAAAATGCAAAAGTCAAATAAATGTACATAGACAYTTAGGAAGACGATAGAACCCAAAGTATTATTTAATAAATATCATCTATTTAGAGGTGTAAGAAAAATGAACTTATTACTTAATCTGAAAACTGAGATTTTATCAGATTTTTAAAAATATCATCTGTAAAATAACAAAATAACTGACAGATAGGTATATCTCACTAAAACTAATAATGCTGCTAATGCATGTATACCTTATGGTACATAATATACTGTTTAATATGTCAAAGTCAACACAATGCTCTTATTACTTTCAACTTATCAAGTGTAATAATGGAATTAATTACAAAGACAGAGCACTTAATAATAAATATAGTATGCTTACTTCATAGGCTTCAGAAACTTCTTGAAATTTTTTACTAGCACTAGGATCTCCCTTGTTGGTATCTGGATGAAATTTTTTAGCGAGTTGGTAGTAAGCTTTCTTGATTTCTTTTTGAGAAGCATTTTTAGGTACTCCTAATATGTTATAAAAATCCTTCTTATTATTTAAATAACTTGTGGTATGAATACTTTTATAACTATAAGGATTCAGTGGTTTGACAACTAAAACAAAAAACAGTTATAAATATAACAATCTGTAGTATTAATATCAGATACAACAAATAATTAATACTTACACTGTTCAAATAAACGTTTATTATTTAATGTGGAATGACTGAGCGACGATGAAAATATGTGATGGTTTAGTTTTTGGAAATTACACAATAGTGATGGAGAGTAATGTTTATAAGAAATCAAAAGTTTTATTTTCATACTGTTCATTGTAATAAAATGTTTATCGTCCTTTTTACTTTACCCAGCAATATAATCGAGATGCATTAATAAAGTAACAGATTGCTTTAAAATGTAAAACAAATAATTACAAATGAACAACACTAAAATTGTACGAAAGTACAAAAACGTGATAGTAAATCCCAAGATAATAATGCCGGCCAAGAAATAGGAATGGCAACAATACATCGATTTATCAACAATATCGATGTTGTGATATAATCGATTACAATAAAATATTGAACAATCTGATTACATTATGTATCCATGACGTAAGGACGGTGTATCGTGTACGATAAATCGAAAGTTGTCCATTATTATTTGTCGTCTCTAATGTGTTATATTATAATGGAATGAAGTTAGGAATGTAATAAAATAATAATGTACCCATGCRGTACTAATTTAGTAATTTTTAATAAACGATAAGACATTTTATCACTAATGCTACGATCACAGATTATATAAATTAAAATAAAAAATATTATTTATTATTAATAAATATATAAATTTTATATAATCTGTGCTACGATTATGAACATAATAAACATCTTAGTTCGTGGCTACGATTAAAGATAGTACTATTACGATAAATGCAGAATGGTTGTATATTTCTGCTGGCGCTGCGTTTGTTGGTGCTCTGTACGATTCAGTATTCACTATTCACATTTCACATGGCTAAATACACTGGTATGTTCTCAACTTTGTTCTGCGCTTGTATGCTACGTCACTCTGTACACATTATGCGAGAATGCGCGCCAAAATTTAAATTAATATAGTATTATAATAGGTTCATCGTCGGTGACGATGACTGTCAAATATGAAATAGTCAAATAGAAAATTGAGTGTAATTAAATTCGTGTGTAATATCTTTAATTTATAATATTTAACGATACCAGTAGGTATGACATATAATAAAATGATATATAAGAGGCTAAAATACACTTTACCAACCCCCTCACGATTTTCAAAATTTTTTTTTTTTAAACGACTTGTTTTTTTATGCTGGAAACGATGGTGTAATTTTTTTTTCACCGGAAACTATTAGTTTAGAAGTTATAGCCTTCCAAAGTTTGTGGTTATACTACAAATAGTACGTACCTATGCGTGAGGCGCGCTCATCGCATAACACAACAGTTAACAGGGCGCGCGTAATAATAATAAATAAATACTGTAGGTAGGTACAACATATTTAATGATATTACCATAGGCGCACATAGGGGGGTGCTTGGGGGTGCTT